TGTTTTTCTTTTGAGTTTTCAATTTTCGCATTACCATCGTATAAACCAAAAGCGTTGATATTTTAATTAGGAGTCAATTTCAGTAATTTTCTTTGCGCGAAGCGCGTTCTGCTTAATTTTTCGGTCAAAAAACACATATCAGATTGCTTGAATTCGTACTTTGCCGTCTGGTCCATTTAACCTAAAGTATTTGAGAATTTCAATGAAAAATATGGACAACTTTTCTCACGAACTCTCCTTTTTTTTTTTTTTTTTTTTTTTTTTTTAAAAAAAAAGAAACATGTTGGTAGCGGTATTTAAAAGTTTTCTATAAAATAAGAGTCATCTTTATACCGTGCATTACATTTATTTTAGTTAAATTTGCACGTACATATTGTCATTATTTGTCATTGTAATTATGTGCCCGTCGTAGTGCGCAATTTTAGGAGTGCTCTTGAAGATGGGGAAATCCCGGAAGGCCTCGAGCGTATGTACTTTAACTAAAATAAATGTAATGCACGGTATAAAGGTGACTATTATTTCATGGAAAACTCTTCTTTTATCGGGGGAAATTTGGCAACAGTTGACTGTTGATACGGTGTTTTTCGTTAGGTCGGCAGCACGGAGGACGAGGGCGCTACCGTCACGACGACAAGATTGTTTGGATAAGGAGGAGAGGGACTATCGTTTAGAACTCGTTACCGTCACCGGGACGTCCGAATCCGGGCATCTCGGGCTCCCGCGGCCAGCAATGACATCCAAGCTGACCCACCAAAAAAAAAAAAAAAAAAATCCTTCTTCGTGTCCTTTCCTCCCAGTTCGCCGAGTTGGCCTTGTCAATGTCCGGCTTGAGCTTTCTAAGATCTGCCGTGTTACCGGAGATCCTACCGGATCCTAGGGGAGGGGGGTTGTTAGGAGGCGGACCCTCCCCCTCCCCCCCAGTTGGCCCGGAAAAAGGAGGAAGAGAGAAGGAACTGAGGAAAGAGGAAGGGAGGATGCTTCGATTTGTTAATTATTCATGACGGAACTATGCCATATTGGATGTTTTAAAATTTTGACATATTTGGGGGTCCGGATCCTACTTCCGCCCCTTGCCCCCCTTCTCCTTATCGAATTGCTTGATTTCGCCTCTGACGAAGAGAGCTGTAAGTTAGGTCGCCTAAAGTCAAGTTTCGAGAAAACATGAAAAAATTGGATCTCTCTGACAAAGCGCTGGTTTAGTAATTTTTAAATCCTGCATATTTGAAAACTAGGGAGTGCACATAGTTTAAAGGAATTTTCATTTTTTTTTTTTTTTTGAACAGTACCCGCAAAAAGCGAGTATTGCATTCACTATACATATAACATGGATCCTATACATCACTCCAAAAGATATGAGCAATGTAAGTCGTTTCTAGGTAAAATTCCACCGTTCTTGCTCAAATGTCGCATGAAAAATCTGTGAATGTGTAATGTGATTTTCACGCTTTTTGACCAAACCTAACCTACCACAAACTCAAAGGTTCGTGCATCAAACGCTCTTCAACGTCCATTCGTTGAAACCAAACCCTTGTTTTACTTGTGAATTCATTATGAACTGCGTAGCCGTTAGAAGTCAAGGTCAGGAATTAGAGTCTGGTTTTTGCTACGACGGTGATTCAGGTTTGGCGGGGGCGATTTCTCTGTACCTTCATGAGCTCCGCTTGCAATTCACATCCTTCACTCGCTCAGCTTTCCCACCCCTTTTGAGACCTCGGTAAATCGTTCTGTAACCACGTTGCTAATTCAGCCGTTAATTTGGACTCATTTTGCAATATTGGAAACTAAAATTTCTGGCTCAAACGTACATCACTTACGCGCGGAAACTAACGGAACATAACGTCGTTCCTAAACTAAGTCAGAAAATAGGTAGTTCCTAATTGAAATATGCACATAACATACTCTGTATATATACTGTACATACTTTCGCTCATATGGACATAAATATACGCCCTTACATCAGAGGAGCGAACATTTGTGAATCCATCAATCAAAGCTACCATTCATTCATCACAACTAAGACCGTCCGTTGATAGTTTTTGCTGTTGTGGGCATACTTATTTCTTTGTTAGTGCGACGGACATTTTCTGCATGAAGGAAGCTACTTTACTACACTAAATAAAATTTTACTTACCTCGTCGAAAGTTGCCTCTCCATAAAGAAAATTTTCTGATCGTCATACATGTTTCATTGTCACAACTGAAACTCAACTTCTCGCTACAAACCGTCCCCCCGAGGCAACGTTTCCATTCCCAGCGCAACCAATAACTGGCAAAAAATAGATCCAATGTTTCTCGGTTGACGAAGAAATTGTCAAAATTCGAGGCGGAGAAGAAATTAAAATTTCCCTTTCAAATCTAATGGTTCTGTTGGCAGCAAACGATGCGAGACCCATTTCCGCTAGGAGTAAAATATGGTTAGGTCAAAAACCTCTCCACCCGAAGTCCCCTTTTCTGGTACTCCGTCGCACTTAATGATATTTTCCGGTGTCTTGACTCACGGTAATAGCTAGTTTAGCCACCCCGCCCCTCTTCCTCCTCTGAATTCACCTTGCGAGGAGGCCGAAGTCGAGACGCCTCCCTTAAGTATCGAGTGGCACTTTTGCAAATTTGAAATCTTGTCCCTTCGAACATGCTCCCATCTCACTCCACCTCGCGCAACGTAAGCCGCGTCGCACCGCACAGTAGATCAAGTCAATAGGAGAGGTCAGACAAAATTTGGAAACTTTAAACGCGCTTAATAACTCCGGTTAAGGTGATTCAACGGGCGCAATTTTCTTGTATCAGAGTGACGTGCGATATTTCGCATCGATTCATTCCATAATTTTAGCTACTCGTCATTTTTTTCGAATTTTGAGATTGCACTTCTGTTGTCATGAGACTGAAGAATTCATGAACCTTTGACGAAGAAATTTAACGTAATAAAGGCGTGGTTTTTTAGAGGAAAAATATCGCATTCGAGTGCAGTTCCGATATCAGTATCGAATGCGATATTTTTCCTCTAAAAAAAACCACGCCTTTATTACGTTGAGCGTCTTTGTTTTTGGTTCATGAATTCTTCAGTCTCATGACAACAGAAGTGCGATCTTAAAATTCGAAAAAATGCCAGTAGTTGAAATCATGGAACGAGTCGATGCGATATATCGCACGTCGCTCTGACACAAAATATGGCGTCCATCGAATCGCCTTAAATACAAACATTTGAAGTTCTAACAGTCGCTCCGCTGGTTTTTTCGTAAAAAATTCTGTGAGCATCGCCCCTCAAAATTTAAAATATGACGAAATAAATGCAGTTTTAGTAAAGAATTTCATGTCCGACCTCTCTAATTGACTCGACTCACTGTGCTCCGTGTCATGGGCACGCTAACAGACCTTGTCGACGATCGTTACCCAGCTTCTTGTTTTAACGCTTCCACGGGATCGTATCTCCGAATATACCGCGTAAATTAAAGTGCACGCGCGGGCATTGATGGCGCTGCAAGTTATTATCAGGGCCCGCTTACAGAACCGGCGGTGGGGGGCAAAAAAATATGGATGATAGCCCGTTTTTTTTCTCTTACTCCGTGGCTTCCGCGGAGAGCTTGAATGATATCAACAATTTAGCGGGCGATTATTAAGTGCTTATGGGAGCAAAATTACATCGCGTGGTCAGCTACTCAACTCTTACATAATCATTCAACGGAGAAACTTTCGCGCGAGACCTTACCTCTGCCTTTTTCATTAATCATCATTAATAAATTCATGCAATGGTCAATGACAGGGATGTAAAATTCGATACGAATTCTCAGGGAAATTCTGAAAACCTCATGAAATTTTTTGAATTTTCAACATAGGCGTATTCACACACTTCGAACAGGAGGGGTGGATGGTGGGTTTGGGGGACTGCTCCCCTTAGAATATTTTTGACATTTTAGAGTGTTTGTTGTGGTGTGAATCAATTTTGTCTTGAATAATTACCGACTCTTAGCGTCCCTTCTTCTTTATTTCTTCCCTTTGTCTTCCTCCTTTTTTTGGGC